AAGGTCCTGGCCAAAGACTGAGATCTTTCCATGACTATCAGTCACATGATCACTTACAGCCACAGATGCAATTGGGAGATTTTGAATTTGTTAATAGGGGTCGTGGGCAGAGGTCGAGACCTTTCAATGATCACCAACCTCGCAATGACTTGCAAACAGAGATGCAACCAAAAGATTATGATAATAAAGGTCCTGGACAAAGGCGTAGACCTTTTCATGACCATCAGCCTTATGATGACTTACAGGAACAGACTCAGTTAAAAGATTCTGATTATGTTAATAAAGGGCATGGACAAAGGCCAAGACCTTTTCATGATCATCCAAGTCATGATGACTTGCCACGTGAATGGTGTTCAGACAGGTAAAGCATCCTTGAGCTGTAAGACCAGAATTAGAGAATAGAATTATAAACCTCAGCACCTTTAAATTAAATTTCAAATGAATTAATTTTTTAAAATAAATTATTTTAAAATCAATTAATCATCCTTTTAAAATCATATATGAAAGATGAGTTAATTGAATCTTTTTATTTTGACTTATGTAAGGGTTTTATTGTAAGCTAGGGTGTTGCAGCTTTGAAAACCGATGTTTTCTAAACTAGAAGGTTGTGCTTCTTTAAATTAAAGCTTACGTGTTTCCTTTACCTTTTTAGAGTTAGCTTGAAACAAAACTCTTTGTCCCACTTTGTTTTGTATAGAAATTTAAATTTAAAAAGCAATCCTCAAGACAGAAGACAATACGAAATTTTATTTATGCCCTCAGCCAAACAGAGATAAACAGTAATACTACAGGGACGTTTGACTTGCATTTGTTTATTCCATGAGTTAATAATTTGTTAAAAATTTCTTTACTTCTGAACTTGCATCATATTTTCCCAAATACATGTATCACTTATTAGTAAGCCTACTGGATTCTGACACAATTTTGCAAAGTATATTTAATATTTCAGAACGTATTTCATATATTTGTTGGGCTAGTAAGGTTCAATTTAATCTCTTCCATTGTACAGCTGAAAAGAGGATATTATATCATTACAGTGAAGCATACCATTCTGAGGTATTAATACAGTTGAGATAGTTTTTATTAAATTTTTAAGTAAATTTAAATTAAAAATAAAAATATTTTTATCTCATTTGATAAATGCGTATTTTTCAAAAGCTTACAACCATTTGTATTCTTCTTAACATGCAATTCTTTGGGGTTTTTGCAGAAGTCAATCTTTCTCTTCCCATGAAAATGTACCAGAACCTCATTTCTCCTCATCTCCTTCACTTCACAGAGATTATGGGTCTGATAATGATGACTTTAACAGAAGTTATAGGTAAATACCAGATTTCATATGTTGTTTTCTGACTTACCTTTATATTGTTAGTCCACCAGTTTCCCAGCTAAAAAAAAAAAATAACTGCACAGTGTAAAAATTTATTTTAACATCTTTGCTTAAATGCCATTTAAACCATTGAATCTGAACACGGAGCCAATAATGTCCATCTATATTGAGTTTGAGTGTGATTATGAAATGGTTTGAGAATCCCTGACATAAGTCATTGACATGACAAGCACAGTTCAAGTTAACATACTACAAAGTATGAGAAGCAAAACAGAGATGCTGTATTTAACTCTTATTAGCTTGTTGTAGTCAGCGGTTGACTTTTACTGTGAGGGATGGTCAGACACTGAAACAGGTTGCCCAGAGCAGCTGTGAAATCCCCATCCTTTGAGATACTCGGAACTCAGCTGACATGGCCATGCACAGATTCATCTAATTAGACCTTTTTTGAGCAGGTGGCCCTAAGTGCTTCCAGAGATCCTTTCCAGTCTAAATTAATCTATGGTTCAGTGAGGGAGAAGATTTTAAAATTGCGAAGATTGTTCTGAATTGGCTTTATATACCGCTTATTTTACAAAGGAAGTAAGGTACTTGAGAGTAAAGAGAATCCAAAACAAAAAATGTATATATAATCATATATGCATTTTTAGATCCTTCCATATGTATTTTGTAGGAGAGTGATTCTTCTGTTGCAGAAGAATTAATAATTAAAATATTTGGAGATATAAATCCAAAATATAATCTTGCCTGTTGAGACTATGTAGTAGAGAGCTGCTATTACATGTTATTCACAAAAATGAAAACATGGGCTTAGGAACAAAAATGTCCTCTAGGTAAAGTAACCCTCAGTAAACAGGAGAATTTTAATTAGAAACAGCACTTGAAACAAAACGTCTTCTAGTAGAATTATTTACTATAAAGAGCTGTAATTTTAATCACTAGAATTGAAAAACTAATATAAACAACTTTGCAACATCCAGTAGAGAGGATTTTAATTCTAGGGGGTAAAAACAAGCACGAAGGTCTGAATTGTTCTTTCAAGGTTACACAAGTTTAATTTCTAATGGTGGTCACCAACAATAAATCAACTGTTTTATTTCTAAGGATTTCACTGTTCATATTTGTTCTCCTTACAGTAATCGACCAAGTTGTCCCGAAGACAATAGGAGACCAAGTTGTCCTGAAGACAATAGGAGAATGCATCCCTCAGGTGAATTTAATAGAGGAAAAAACAGATTTGCACCATATTCTTCACGAACAATGCATCCATCTTCATCTGTGCACCAAGAAGATAGTTCAATAGACTATGAAAGAAAACCTTTTCAAGGTGAAACTACCAGAGAGATGGAACAATGTAAAAGATTACCAGTTGTAACAGTTGATTACAATTATGGTCTGCCATTAGACTATGGACCTGAAGAAGAAGAGAGAACACAATATGATTTACCTCCAAGAGACCGCTACAACTGGAACTGAATAAATAGGACAGTGTTTGCTCAGCTTAGACCTACCCATTTTACTTTGTATGGGGACCAATTTTTTTTTTTTTTTAAACAAATTAGGAAAATGCAAATTTCATTAATAGAGAACTGGTCTCTATTCTAAGATTAGCTTCTACTGATGTTTGGCTTTTTAAATTTATGAGGGTGTGTTTGTTAAGTGTAGTTGGAGACAAGGTCTCAGTACACATGGAATTAAAGTAGTCCTTCCTTTTAGTGAAATTGGAACCCTGTACCTTAAAACAAACAACTTTCTGAGTGATTGTGGTTGTGTCTTTTGTTTTACATTTCTTTAAAATGTGTGTAATTTCCAGGTGCAAAAGTCATAATAAAATACTGCACTATCAGGCAGATTAGCATTGAGATTATAAAAAAAAAAATACCATGAAATTAGTAAAGCAAAGTTATGTCCACTTCATCCTTTAATTTGAAAATAGCAGTTTGAATTATCACTAACAATCTCTGCAGCATTGCCGTTCAATTCCAGATTTTCTGTATCATCAACTGAACTGACCTAGTTGCACTCTTTCATAGCAGAATTTTTCCCAGATTGCTAAGAACATGGAAGCAAATGGAGTTTGAATACTCTAAATGTCAAACGTGCTTTTCAGTAATCTGAATGTGCTTTTCAGTAATCTGAATATCCCATCCTGATTGTATATTTTTTCCTGATCCCATAGGTTATATATGTTTCAGAATAGCCTAGTGCAGGTAAATGTCACAATTTTCTCAGCAATGCATCCAAATGAGGTAGTTCATGTATCATCAGCTTACCTGTCTCAACTGGCCAAGATCACTGGTGCCTATATAGTTACACCTCCCTGTTTGTCAGTCATACCTTTCTTACTCTCCAGCTCTATTTTCTGCTAGTTTCTGTTTGCAGCACAGCAAAGTAATGTAAGCAGGACAGAAGAATCGCCTCTTCAGGTAAGTTAATTTTAGGAGTCATGTATTGGACTGTCTCCTCTGACCTGCCACTTCAGTGGGTCTCAAGAAGGTAGTGCAGAAAACAGTAACTAAAATCATGCCAGCAGCTGCACAGCAGCACCAACAGCTCCTACTGTGGATAAACAAATCTTAGTTTATAGGCTGGAAAACAGTATTAATGTAGTACTTGGGCAAATTTGAAGATTTACATTTTTCGTTATTACATTTTCATAAATTAATATTTTTAAAAGGCATCACAGTGAATAAGGATAAAGCTAGACCATGATATTAAAATAAACTATTAAAATGAATACTAGATACTTAAGTAATGCAGTTAAGAAACTGCCTCAAAGTTCTACATGGCTGTAAAGCATAAAGCAATAGGGTGTAGGTATACACTAGAAAACCGCAAAAAAAAAAAAAGTGCTTATAGCCAGAACGCACAGAGGTTTTTTGCCTTTTAACTAGCAGCACAAACCCCAGATTTCTGAACTCCTGGTTCTATAGCTACTAAGTAATGACTAGATTTGAAAAGTGTGGAACATCTGGCAACTCCTGTTGTTTTGTAACACATGCAAAAAGTTCCCAAAATCAAAGGATTCTGTAGATATAAATTCAAACTGCAAATGCTTCATTGCCTTTGCAACTGGTAGAACAACTTTGGCTTTGTTCATTGTACAAAGTAAATAGTTCTCTCGTTTTCACAGCAGCTAGTCAATTGTATTTCCCATTAAACCTCATTCGGAGCCTCATTCATGTGGTCTCAGGAATGAAGCTCTCTGTATATAGACCGGTTGTGGAACTGAGCACTAAATGTTAAGAAAAGGCATTTGTTCCTTTCTTCCTTCACTTGCCCTTTTTTTTTCTTTTTTTTTTCTTTTTTCTTTTTTTCATATTTTTCTTTTTTTCTTTTTTTTTCTTTTTTCTTTTTTTTCTTTTTTTCTTTTTTTCTTTTTTTCTTTTTTCTTTTTTTTTCTTTTTTTCTTTTTTCTTTTTTTTCTTTTTTCTTTTTTCTTTTTTTCTTTTTTCTTTTTTTTCTTTTCTTTTTTTTTCTTTTTTCTTTTTTTTCTTTTTTTTCTTTTTTTTCTTTTTTTTCTTTTTTCTTCCTTTTTTTCTTCCTTTTTTTCTTCCTTTTTTTCTTCCTTTTTTTCTTCCTTTTTTTCTTCCTTTTTTTCTTCCTTTTTTTCTTCCTTTTTTTCTTCCTTTTTTTCTTCCTTTTTTTCTTCCTTTTTTTCTTCCTTTTTTTCTTCCTTTTTTTCTTCCTTTTTTTCTTCCTTTTTTTCTTCCTTTTTTTCTTCCTTTTTTTCTTCCTTTTTTTCTTCCTTTTTTTCTTCCTTTTTTTCTTCCTTTTTTTCTTCTTTTTTTTCTTCTTTCTTTCTTTTTTTTTTTTTTTTTGTTAAATGAAGGGTAAGTTGAGAATCTTTATCTAGGCTTCTTTATTTGGAGGCAAGGAAGATCTGCAACTTGGGCTACTATATTGCCAGATTCTTTGAAAAAACAGCAAAAACCCCTTTCCTGGTATTCTCCAGCAGGGGGTCTAAGAATTAGGGACTGGTATTACGAGTATTTGGGATTGTTTTTATGCTATGTATGCAGTATTCATCAAGTGAATAAAGAGCAAACATTTGCCCTTCATACTTTTGTTCTGGCTTTTGAATTATGTTTTTTAGGATTGAAGTGACCCTCCAGTCCATCCTTCGTTACTTCAGACTGGGGGTGCTGGGTAGGTGAGAAGCTGGTGCACTGGAAAGCTCAGTGCAAAGAGCAATGTGGCGTGGAGGCAGGATCAGCACTACCTGTCACCAGTCCTCGTCAGTTCCTGCAGGACCCTTGGAGGGTCTAGGTACAGTCAGATGCTATAATTCCTGTTATCTGACAAAATAAACGTCACTTCCCTAACCATGTTGGATTCTTCTTTTCAAGCAAAATTAATAGCCACAATGTTTCCACAAATGGCTTTGAGATGACTATATGAAAATCGCCTAAGTTGGGTTTCTATATTTTTAAATTTTTTTTAGAGTTTAGGGTAAGGCTTTCTGCCCTATTGTTCCTAATGCAATTACGCAGAGCTAAGCACACCTAATATGTTACAAACTGCTACTGATATTTATCTCAAATTCCACAGCTGAATCATCGGTACATATTCACATCTGTAGTATTAAATTACTAATTGATCCACATGGCGGAGAATGAAATTAAATGCTTCTTGGTTTTTAACCAAATATTGTATTATGGTGACACTTGTTAAAAAAAAAAAAATCGCAAGGAAAAAACCCCAGCACTTATTTATTACACAGTTGTACAAAAATGTCATAAAATTTTGCTGGTCTCTGTGTATGTTCTCATCGAACCTAGAAATAGCTGTTGTTCTATCACAGAGCAATAAAAATCAATATTTGGATGGACAATGTTGGTTTCCCACTGCCCTGAGTGTAGAATTTTGAAGAAAAACACAAGGATAGAGAAAACCCAGAGGTAGCACAAAATTATTTGAAGGAGTTGGAGGAGTTTTAATATATGTAACTATTGAACTCTTGAACTCACAGAAAACTTCTCTTTCTGTTACTGTCCTGAAGTCATGAATTAATTGAAGGCCTGATTTTTATTGGGTGGTGAAGCCATGGGGCCAGCTCACCCTGAGGTATGATAGTACTTAGAAACCGTTCCAGTGGTTCCTGGGCAGTGCTGGGAGAAAGTTCAGCTGAGCTCTATGCAGAAGGCTGGCTCCCAAGAAGGGCTTGGGAAAAAGAGAGGTTAGCTCCAGCAGGAAACCAGAATGCAGGGATATGACTAAATTTGTACATAGAAATCTGCATTACGTGTACAGCTAATTTAGTTTTGCATGTGAAGAATAAACAGTTATCTAAAAAGGGGCTAGAAAGGTTTGCATGTGACTATTTTTCTCTTAGCTGGGGCAAAAGGTAAATGACCTTCAAGGAGCCCCAAGTACAGTTAGGATCCTTCCTGTTTGTTTGCATCTAAAGTAACCGCTAGCAAGCAGTGGGCTTTTTTTCATGTGCAAAAGTGATCAGCGATGTGTTACGATTCAAATTTGGGGTGCACTGCTACAACCAGTGTGGCAGGACCAGCGGTTAAATGACCTGAGCACTAAGCTTCTGAAGATCAATTCTTTCTTAAGATGTCTCACGTGAGGCATCCAGAAATGCAAACACCCAAACGTCATTTGTGGTCTAGAATCTGCTCAGTGCTGAGGAAAGAAGGAGCATATTCCACATCTGGGGTTCTGCAAGGGGATATGAATCCCTGGCCACTGTGAACAGCAGTTTTATTTAAAACACGTGTGCAAACAAAAAGCAATGGCTTCCATGCTGTTATCAACCACTCGTGTTTGCTTCCTCTGCAGGCTGACCCTCACTTGCTCCAGTTGTCTGTGGACTGTGCTTTACTGGTTCCAGTGGACAGCAATTTCCAAACCTACAGATGCCTTTCTTCTTCTTGTGGGGAGTCAGAAAAAACAGATGACAAAAAGGAACCAGGTGAGGAGGCAACTTGGCTCTCCTTCCTCCTGAGGGGAAAAGGCAATAAATGGGGGGGGAGGACAGGGGGAAAAATATCTTAAAAGATAAAAATGAAGGAGGGAAAATGCAAATTAAAATGGCAGGGAGAAAGTTATCAGAATGAGGGAAGAAATGTGCAAAAGATGCATGTGTAAAAAGCTGGTGAAAGATTAGTGGGTATAAAAAGGGGGCACATGCTGGAGGAGGAGTTCCTGGCAACTTCTTATCTGTGTCTTCTAAGCCATGCCTGTGGCTCTGTGTGAGCACCATGCTGATGTAAGTAATCAAAAAAAAAAAAAAAAAAAAAACAAACCAGGAGCACTCAGACCTCTAATCCTGCAATAAAGTCATGTGGGAGCTTAGAACTAATTAAGGCTTCCCTGTAAGCTTTAAATCTAGTCTATGTGTAGTATAATATCCTGAAGATATTCCCTCCAGAAACCAAAGAGAATTTCAGATAATTAAGAAAGAAACTACTCCACAAATCTGTTTCTCACATTGAAAACAAGCTAGGTTTTTACTGCATATCAGGAATCCCATCATTTGAGGAATCTGAGAATCAAGTCCAGCTTGTTTATTACAAATCCATACCTGTCTTATCGC